CCCCAAAACCCCAAAACCCCAAAACCCCTGAGATGTAAATTATAAAATAAAGAGGGTTTTTAATATAAAAAGGCATAATAAGTATACTTGATAAATATTTATCAGTTAAATTTGCTCTGAAATGAGTTCTCGAGACTGGCTTAAGACTCTTGAATGGTATTGATAGCTGTTTAGATCGAGTTAGTTTATCCTTTGTTCCTCTTAATCTTCTTCAACTTAAGCTGATCATTCTTTATAAATAGCTGATCAACAAATGCATCAATGGACCCGAGGATGCTAAGGTAAATCTTGAAGTTATCATCCTTGAGTTACATTAGGAAGTTTAATTAGGATAAAATATCAAAAGCAGCTACGAAAATAACTTTCGAGACATTAGAACTTGACACTTCAATTATGAAATGAGCATAGTCTTGCTTCACGCATTTTTGGCTCACTCTGACTATTGGGATTTCTACGGTCTTCTTGAATATGACTTGTCTGTTTTCAATCAGCAATTTGGAAGCCTATTTCTCAATGAACTTACCAGACTCGTAGTCCTTATCTCTGGATAGCAGCATTATCCTTGGAGTCATATCTCTTTAAGAAATGGCTGGCAACTTGTACATCATTGTAGACTCATTCATTCCTCGGGTACTGTTTAAAACATACTATGATTTCTAAGCTCTCAGTCTTTCTTTTAGCCTCTTATTTTCTTGATCGATTTCTTGCAACTTAGTCTGTCTGCAGTGAAACTATCTCTGCGAGGCTGCTCTTTTGAACTTTTCTAGTTATGTGAACTTCTTAACGATATCCTTTGAGGCATCTGTATTATCAATGATTTTATTGATCTTAGACAGAAATCTCTTGTTGTCGACCTCAATTTGCTTGAACTTTTCCAGGACATGAAACACCTTGCGGTTGGATAACTCATCTGGGTCCACATTAAGAGTGTCCTTTTAATGCAGAGCAACTAGACTGGCAGTCTTCTTTATCTTCTTTTTCATGATCTAATATTCATCCGCTGCGAATAGCAGAGACTTCTTATTCGAGGGATGACCATTTATCTTCAAGAAGGAAGTTTGCGATAATCCTGTTAAAGTAGTATTCATATTTATCAGATTAATTTTATAAGTTTTTTTCATAATCCTTAAAATCCAGAATAAATCACAGCGGGGTTTTGGGGTTTTGGGGG